AGCTCAGGTCATGATGTCACAGTTCATGAGTTCGAGCTCTGCGTCGGGCTCGCTGCTGTCAGCATGGAGTCTGCTTGGGATCCTCTCTCTGCCCCTCCCCTGCTCATTCTCTCTCTCTCTCTCTCTCTCTCTCTCAAAACTAAATAACATGTTAAAAAACAAAACAAAACCAAACCCTGTTGTCTGCACACTTCACTGAGGGTTGTCAGTAACAGAGTACTGGGTCTGGCCTAGAGGCTGCCCCTCGGGGGAACCCAGGAAGTAGGGCGTGGTGGCCGTGGCCGTGGCCCCGGAGGGCGGGCTCTGCCTGGCTACCCGGCCCTGCCAGTAACCACGTTAAGCTGGTAGTGTTTGACGACCGTATGTGAGGACAGCATCGGACCCCTAGGGATTTAGGAGGTTAAATAAGATCAGGGGTGAGAAGGGTCCTTTCTGGCAGAGACACAAAGGTGGGGGCTCCCGTCCCCTCCTCTGTGCTCAGCTGAGGACCTGCACTGAAACGCCCGCAACGCAGTGGCCCCTGTTTCTTTTCTAGTTCGACGCACAGGTGCAAACCATGGGCCGGAGGCTCTGTTCTTTAAAACTCTCATCTCTAGTTAGGAGGCAAAGGACTCCATCAAGAGTCTGAGAAAACAGACAGCACGTCCCTGCAGGACACAGAAAATGTCACCCGGCTTCCGTCCGTCTCCTCCGAGGTCAGTCCCTGGGGGCAGCAGGGGGACCACCGTGGTCCTCCGAGGGCAAAATGCCTCCACGTGCTGGCCCAGCGGGGCATCCAGGCCCGAAAGCAGGTGTCGCGCGAACACGCAAAGCGCGGGCAGGAACAACAACAAATTGGCACACGTGTAACACCTGGAAGAGTGTCTTGCAAAGCTTAATGGGAATTGGGGGCACTTGTCATTTTCCACATGATGCTACCATTTCTCGAACGTTTACTTGCGCTTTGCAGACTCTCCCGCTGCCTGTGAGACTAGCGAGAAAAGAATGGGCTTCTGTAAGAGAGTGTGCGGCAAGGTGAGGCGACAGGCAGGGTGAGAGTCCTGCCCTGAAGAAGGGTGATTTCCCGGCCAGACTGGACCTGGCTGGTGGCCAAGTCGCTGTGCAGCAACGTTCCCGTCAGGACTCACGAGACAAAGACGCGGGGGCGCAGGGCACATGCTGGCTCGTCCCACAGCCTGGCCTGCCCCCTGCGGCGGCCCCCCCATCAGGGACAGTAGTCCCGCCTGACCCGGACCAGGATGTGCACTTTCCTCGCTGACTCACCAAGCATTTTCTGGGTGGAATCACCCTCAGGGTCTTACCCCTCTTCACTGAGTTCTTCGAGCTGATCGTGGCCCTGTCTGCAGAGGAAGCAGTGGCCGAGGGTCACGGGAGTCACGTTTCGCTTTACAAAAGTGACATCCTGATGCCTCCTTTTAAAAACTTTTGAATGGGGCTGCCGGAGTGGCTCAGCTGGTTAAACGTCTGACTTCGGCTCAGGTCATAACCTCACGGTTTGTGAGTTCCAGCCCCGCGTCAGGCTCTGCACTGTCAGTGCTGATCCGGCTTTAAATTTTTTCTCTCCTTGTCTCTCTGCCCCTCCCCTGCTCGTGTTCGCGCTCTCTCTCTCAAAAATAAATGAATAAACTAAAACAAACAACAACAAAAAGCTTTTGAGTGAAACATGCTTTTGGGATAGACAGGTATCTCCAAAGGACTAGAAGATTCTGGAAGCCACAAAACTTCCCCAGACCAGGGCTTCTCACGGGCTGTCCTGGGCTGGAGCTGAGCAGCATCCCTGGGCTCTACCCAGGAATGCCAGGGGCGCCGCGAACATTGCCAGACGTGAGTCGGTGTCTCCTGGGGGCACCATCACCCGACAGGGAACCAGTGCCTTGGGGCATCAATGCGCTTAGCAACCTGTTCTTTAAACAGAAATACAGGAGGGGACAAGGGCCGGTGTTGGGAGCACAGGGGAAAGGCGGGGGCCGCTGAGCGCTCTCCTACATCACAGACCCTCGTGGGGTCTCAAGTACGTGTGCGTGTGTTCGTCCCAGGGGAGCCTCACACACAACCTTCCAAGCCTAAACCTATCTTCTCTACTGTGCTGCCCCTTTCCAGAAACGTCCTTCCCTGCTGTGTCCCCAAGTCGGTGAAGAGTGCCCCATGCTTGTGCTCACCTGCCCAGCCATCCAGGAGCCCTTGTCTCACTTCCTCTCTGCCCCGGGGTGGCTCCCTGCCCGGCCCCTCAGGCCCCCGAGGGCGCGTAGACGCAAATGTGGCCGCGGCACCGCCCCGTTCGAATCTTCGCGGGCGTCTCCCACCAGGTCAGGACCATGTTCAGACATCCTGCTGCTCACCGTGCAGGTTCATGCAACACCCTGGGCCGGGGATGCGGCTGTCGGGGCCCCTCCACCGTCCGCCTTCCTGGCAAAGCCCGCTCCCCGCACCCTGCCTCCCGTCCCGGCGTCCGCACGAGGCCGAGGCAGCACATACTCAGAATGGCTGCTGGAAATGAGCACAGATCCTCCGACAGGAGCTGGAGATTTTCATCCAGAGCTCAGCCGAACCCTAAAGGGGCCGTGCAGAGACCCCACGGCATCACGGGTCTGCTTTACAAGGCCTCTGCTGGGCTAACTCACCACACCGAGATGGTCTCTTCGTTGGTGACGCTTACAAATGCCTGAGATGGGAAAGGAAGTCCACCTGGGTGGGCACCGCCCTCTAACAGGACTGGAGCCAAAGCTGCGACCCAGCCGGGCTGATGGGCACACGGGTCCTCCGCACCCTGCTCCCGGTGGGCGGGGGGGGGGGCGGCCACAGCCACTGACGGGGGCCCCGGCATCTCGCGTGTTCAGGTGAGACCACACAGAAATCGGAAGCCGCCTGGGTCCACCGGGAGAGCCGGCACGTCCCGGTTCGGTGCCATGGTGGGGTTGGGGGGGGGGTCCCCTAATGTGATTAGAGAGAACAACTGAATGATCAAATGTCCGGGTGCCACCAGATACCTCCTGGCAGCCTGCCAACAGAGCCTGCCTGCCCAATCTTCCGTGGGCTCCCCGGGCCCCGTGGGAACTGTCTCCAGGCCGTGTGTGTGTGTGTGTGTGTGTGTGTGTGTGTGTGCGTGTGCAGCTGGGGGCAGGGGGACTGGAGGCCACACTGGACACAACAGCCTGCTCATCCCCCGACCTCTGGCCCTGCCTGCCTGCTCGCCACTCCCGGGGGACGCTGGGCTGGCACACGGACACACGATTTGTTCTGTGGACACACTGTGGCTTTAGTCACTTGGTCCCGCCAGCCCAGCTCTGTCCCCCTCAGTTGCCCTAAACCTTCCCCAGGCCTCCTGACCTTGCCTAACCTCACACCCTCTTGCTTCAGACGGTAACAGAATGTTCCACAAAACCATCCAGAAAACCTACCCACTCATGATGGCTTGGACATAACTTCCACGAAAATATTTCCCTGTCTCCTCAAACTGAATTTCCCAAGAATACATTGTTATGCCGCCAGACACAAAAAAGTTTCAAACAAAGGAGGCGCTGTCCCAGGGGCACGCTGAGCTGGAACCCGCATCTATGTCACAGATGCGTCCTGGGGACACCTGACCTCAGTGCCCCAAAGCAGCAACTCAAAAGCTGGCATTTGAAAAGGCGTTTCCAACCTGGCAGATGAGTCAGTGATGCTCCGAGAACCTGCATTCCGTCACGGGCTCATGGGCGTGGCCCAATCCACATCTTGAGTTGGTGTGAAACATTTCAGAAAGAAACTTGCATCAGGCCAGCAGACAGAAAACTCGCCACGCAACCTGACATGCGGTTGGCAGCCGGCTCGTTCCAGACGCCTGCACCTGCCGCTTCCCCGAGGCAGGGGCTCTGTGTCCGTGCGCCCCGTGGGGAACACTGGAAACCAGCCCCCTGGCTGTCCGTCCTGGTGCTAATATGGTTTCAGTTATGTCTGCTCTCGAGAAGGCTGGATTTGGATCCCAACAGAAACAGACTGTTTTATTACCCTCTACAGATACTGCAAATTTTGAGAAACAGATGTTCCAGTAAAGTTGATCATAAACAGAGAACTAAAGAGATGCTATTTATTAATGACAACAGACTCTCTCTCCATGGAACGGCACATGTTACTTCCGCAGCGAGAGCACTTGCAGAGAGAAAAGTCCAAGGACAGAAAGAGCCATTTGTGTTCGAAGAGTAAAGTGGAGAGATGTGGGTGACGGGTCATTAAACCCAGACGGTCACTGCAAGTTTGTGGGCAAAGGGACCCAGGGCAGCGCCGGCTTTGAGGAATCAGCAGAAGAAATACCAGCCATAGGAAATCACGATGTGACGGAAACACACGGGTTTTGCTACAAGTGTTTTCTTCGTTGCGTCCTCCCCCACCCGGGACTCGAAACCGCCAATCAGCACAGTGTCCTCCGAAGGTGTGCGACCAAGGTCTAGTTTGGCAACACGCTGCTAACGCTTAGAAGTGAAATGTCAAGTCGCATCAACTTTTGCAAGGCTGTCAAAACTGAGCAAGTTCAAAATGAAGGAAAATAAAGAAGAGGCATGTTTTCAACCAGATTAGAAAGAGAAAACCATACATTTTGAATACGTATTTGATATTTTTATTCTACGCCATTAAACATCTTATACACCGATCTCAGGATAGGACACTCACTCTACCCTCTTCTTCACTGATGATGAATTCTACCACTTGCCCAACATGACAAATTCCAAAGTAGCACAGAATGAACTTATGAGGTGCCCTGGAGTGCGGAACCCCCAACCAGCGTGCTGGGGAGATACACACACCCACCATGAACACGGCTACTTGCCTCACCCAGGGTTTCCCACTTCCCAGCCTAAACTCCTCCCCAGCGAGGCCCCCTCCCTTGCCCGCACACACACCCTGCCCGTGATCACTGTGCACACACACCCACGCATATACGCGGTCATCTCTCTACCGCCCTGCCAGGTCACAGCTCCTGCAGGACGAGCCTGCCGATGTGCCCCCACGGGTCACCCCCTCACCGGGGCCTGGCGCTGTCTCGCTGTGGGACGCGGACGCACTGGCTCTACGCTGGGGCCTGGTAACACAGCAGTGAGCCTGCTGGTTTGCGAGTGCAGTTGTGTGCTAAACGGGTATGTGCGTATAATCCCCACAACAACTCAAAGGGTAAATACGGTCCTCATTTCAGACGACTCAGCAGGAGGCCTCGCCCAGAACCCTAACCCTAACCCTAACCCCAACCCCAACCCCTAACCCCTAACCCTAATCCTAACCCTTGTCCCGGTCACAGACGGTGAGCAGCAGGCCCGGGACGAGCCACCGAAACGCTGGCCTCTGAGCCGGCCCTGCCTGCCCACACCGGGTCCCGAAGGACCCCCACCTCAACCCCTGGGCCCGACCCAGGCCACGAGGGATGCAGGTGAACAGCCACAAACCACTCAGAAGTCGGCGAGGCGGCTTTTTGTTAAACAATAACTTAGCAGCCAAGTACAGCAACCTGTGTTTGCGTCTTTAATTCTGAGGGACTCACGCTTCATTTATAAGAACGTCCTCATAAATACTACACTAGGGTAGGTCATTTTGTTAGGCTTTGCACATTTCATAAATAATCCGTCTCCTCAGCTCCTGTGACCCAGAACCTGCTGGCTGCCACAAGTCCCCCCACTCGCCCTGTCAGCCCTCGGCCGGACTCCGACGCCCAGCCTCGTGCGTTCAGTCCATCGTGACATCTTCTAATAATAAAAAAGCAATTCATCTCAAGGGCCACCAGTACTGGCTCAAATATTACAATGATTACAAACTGAAAAAAATGTTCTCACACAATAAAGTCCTTTCCCAAAATGGCCTGAAATGTTGCAACCAAATCCCGGCTGAAAGTCTGGGCGCTTTGCCGATGGCGGATATGATTCCTCTGTGCCTCCCTTCACGGGGAGGGTGGCTGTGTGCTGACTGGCAGTTAACCCTCCCTTAAGGGTGATGAGCGAATGGCCACCACATTCCCAAAGCGTCACAAGCGATGCCCGGGGGACAGCCAGCCCTGTGGCATCCTGGCAGGGTCCCCAGGGACAGCTGACAGGGCTCTGCCCTCTGTGATCTCCCCTGCCAGGTCCGTTCTGTCTGTTCCACGGTGCTCACCGCAACCCGCTCGACTGGATTCGTTCCACAGTCACGACCCCGAGGAGACACCGTGCCTGCTGTCAATCAAGTTCCCGTCCCAAGTTCCCGGACGAAACTGAGCCCACACAGCAGCCTCGCACCCAACAGGAGGGGGACTTCGTGTGTGTCACGAGGGTGGCCCATGTGTGTGAATGCACACACACACACACACACACACACAGATGGGGCAGGGTCGTGCCGGTTGGAGCGTCCCACTCAGCAGGGCCCCCGCAGACCCCCAGAAGGCCGACGAGGGACCAGAACAAAAGCAAGTTCACGATCAAGGGCACAGCTGTGCTCCCCGGCCCCATGTCTCACACCAGGCCCCGAGCAGGAGGCCGCAGGCGGACAGGCCAGAGCAAGCCACTGCACCTGTTCTCGGCACCCAGGGAGCGGCCTGCCATCCCGGGTCAAAGTCTGAACCTGCCTGCGCTTGGGAGGGAGGCAGGTGGTGGTGAGGCCCAGGGGAAGAGTCACGGCCCATGAGCCCCGCGCGCCCATCCCGGGGAGCCCGAGCAACGGGGGCCGCCCCGGGGACCGGGGCCCAGACGTCCGGGCAGGCCGCACCTGTGCCGATTCCGTGCTCGGTTGTGCACGACGTGAACACGCTTCCTTGTGACACCCACTCGGCACACGTTTGCTGAAGGAACCTGAGCTCCAGGACGGGGCGTCCGCCCACAGCTGTCACGGGGACCCAGGAACACCACGTGGACGAGTGGTCACTCTGTCCCTGGCCCTCCTGCTGCCACATCCAGGCCCGCACGCTCTCTCCGACTGCTCCACGTGTCCTGTCCCTGCACGGCTCTTCCAGACAGCACGGTGCTCCCTGCGGGCGGAGGGTGAACGCCGCTCCACCGGGGCAAAGACCGGCTTTCCTGGGAGTCCGCGGGAGTGGGGACAGTGGCTTTCCCGGTGCCCTGTGTGCTGGCGCCTCGGGACATTCCTCAATGTCTGCTTCGGTCTGACAACGGCAGCGGGAAAGCGCCTGCTGGCACCTCCAGATAACTCGCGCCCAGGGTCGCTCCGTGTCACAGCATCCGGGGAAACGGCGTCTCGGGCGGGCCTCTAACCGAAGGGCCCTGCAGCGACCGGGCGTGGCCACCCAGAGCCAGAAGACAGTGTGCGGGTGTGACGGGGAGGAAGGGCACAGTCACACGGAGGCCCCTGGGGAGGCAGGCCCAGATGGTTTTGCAGAGCACGGCCGCCTGCCAGCTCTGGCCCGTGGGAGCACTCCAGCGCGTGACCCTCCGTGACCGCCTGGGGTGGGCACGATTACTGCCCCCGCTGGGCAGACGGGCAACAAAGCAGCAGGGAGCGACCTGCTGGTGTGACCGCACGACCACGGACCCAGAGGCCTGGCTGCGAGGCTACGGACACGGCCTGGGTCCCCGGGTACCTCCGGGGGCTCTGCCCCCACCGCGGTCACCCTCCCCCCCATTTGGCACCTGCCCTCGGCACCTCTGCAAGGCTCCTCCTGACCACAGACTGTCCCCCGGCCCTGTGTGGCATCACCGGCAGCTGCGCATCAGCTCAGAGCAGGGAGAGGACAGGCTTACGTGGCCTCCACGGAAGAGCGGAACGTGGATTTCTAATGGGGACAAAAAGCACGCGGAGGAAATACAGAAATGCGATCGGTTTCCAACCTCTCTGCGAGCGTCACAGGGCATCTCCCGCAGCATACGTGTCAAG